GAGTTATTCATTATAAAGTTGCAAAGGCCGAGCGAAAAACCGCAATAAACCTCTGGTGTCATTCCGCAGAAACATAGGCAGAAACTATTCAAGCATCATAATGATCATGCAATCAATGATTTAATCTTTTATCAAAGTTTGTCGCTTTTGTTCCATCATTCACACCCAGTCACTGACATCTTGGGGATCCATGTTTTCAGCTGAAATCATAATTCCTCAGAGGTTCAAACCATCCAATTTAGCACTCTCATATTAACACACTAGCTGTAATCCATTCATTAGGGAAACAATCTTAAAGTCTTTTTTGATAATTAATGGCATTTTGGTGGTGATATGATGTACTGTATATGTGGGACTAGTCCTCCTTATAGCATGTTAATGATCCACGGCATTCTGCTAATCAGTCAATTAATCACCATCTTATGAATTTAATCTCTTACTTAGGCGCTGTTCTACATAATGGGTTTTAAACATTCAAATCCATGCTTGGATTACAAATGAGGTTCATTCTGGTGACACACTCTCATACTGGGCTTTCACTGACAGTTCTAGATTTGAGGTGCTATTACATAGCATGTTATATTTCTTCCCCGGCACCCAAAGGGCATCCAGTGAAATGTCCACAGAGTAGTGTTAAAGCTGAATTTCTCTTTGTCCTCTTTGAGAGTACACAGTGCAGTTTATGTCTTTAAAGGATTGAACCTTTTCTGTTGCAAGGTAACCTCTCCAATATCTGCATCACATTCAACGAGTTCAACATTTCTGTAAATATTTTTTCACGGTTGGTCTGAAAACAAACTCATGTTTATTGAGCGCTTATTTGAATCTCTCATATATTCTGCTCCCTTAGCTACAGTGAGGTGAAAGAAGACTCTGAATAACTCAAATGAACCAAGTAGAGGGATGATTTGCAATGCATGTTTGGATGGACTTCGGTGAAAGCCACGAAACAGATGATCAATATTACTAAAAGCTTTGCAATTGTTTTAATTTAACAACAAAATGGGGCCACAATTACAAATAAAAACTCCATGTACATGTGGCTCTCGCACCTTTGTTTCTGTGTATGCTTTGCTAGGAAACCCTCCAGTGCACTGTTTGATTTATTGTATTTGATAGATTTGTATCAAGCTTCTCAACTATTTGTCCTTGTGTAAAAATGTTCATTCAGGTGGCCATGCTGAGTCCATTTTTCTATCAGCATGACACAGAAACTGCTGTCTCGTTGTTTTTCCTGCATGGGTGCTGATCATTCTGATTTACATATGCAGGCACGACTGCTTTGTAGAGAACTCTTTGTTTATGTTACACCTGCATGTTTAATTGAGCTCAGAAGCAGCGTCTACTCATAAAACTTGAGTAAATGTCACAGTGCATAAAACATCTACAGATGGGCGTTGCTCAGCCTAATTTTAATTATTTATTCATGTATTCATCATGAATGTTCACTGATTTCACTTTTTGGCATTTTCAACATAACCTACTTTTTGTCTGCTTTCGGACTGAATTCCATTTTTAATTTGTTTTGATTTTTCTTGTTTCCTATTTGGTTTGATCTCTGATGTGGCTAAGATATTAAATGATTGATGTATAATCACGTGGAAGAGAATTGATGTAAATCAATTCAATCAATTTCGACTGCTTTGTGGTTTAGGACTTTTAGAAATTAAGTATTTAGTACATGTTTAATCTGTTTTAGTCTTTCCAAATCTACACACTTCATTAAATGTAATTCTTAAATGTTTTGAGATTGCTTAATGTTTTTTTTTTTTTTTAATGTTTTACTCTGGGCTACAGTGGTCTTGGAGTTTTAAATTCCTCCATTACTTAGTCTCCACAGCTTTTTGCCATTCACTCCATAAAGACATGTACGCTATACTGCAAATAAAGCCAAGTAACTATCCAAGTAACTATGGTTCTTTAAAACAATAAAAACAATAAACAACTATTCTGCTATATAAGCCCACCACATAGGTCCAGATTGTATCACTACATTGATTATAAGTGCCTACTTACCAGGTGCTGGATTTCCAAACTTTCTTTATAGACTAACTTTGATCATCACAATGCCAACACATTCAATGATATATATAATCTTTCCGAAAAAAAAGTTCTAGATGAAATACTCTCTCAGTGCAAGGTCTTTTTGCCTGGCTGTGTTCCAGGTTTCATGTGTCTCCACTATCGGCAGCTCAGTTTAGTCACCGGGCACCGGCAGCATGAGCAATCACTGCTGGCTTCAGCAGCCGGGTTTAGGGAGACAAACAGAGACTTACTTTTATAAGTCAAATGAGTGCTTTTTAAATACCTATCAAATTTAATGGAGCTTTTCATTTGCAGTAAGATGTTACTTGAATGGCATCAACAGTCAACCCAGTGTCTGAACATTTCAGCTTTGCAGTTACAGGGATTCATAAATATTTGTGTTGTTAAGGAATCTATCAAATTCTGTCACCTTGAATGAGGGGGTAATTGTTCTGGCTGTATCTATTGCTTACAACATTCATGGCGCATTCATAATTAGCAACGCATCATTTCCCGATCCGATTCTACACGTTTTGCTCCTTTCCTTTGCTTTTTGTTATCATTTGTTGCCAAAGTTTAAGCTGATTTGTGTACTGATGTCTTCCAGAAAACTAAATGGCACTAAAACTTTCAGTTACATCAAAACATCACTTAATAAAATGCGATTGGGTTCAGTTTTTCCCCCAGGAGAAACATGTTCAGTGCAGTGTCATGGAAGTTTGCATACAATTAATGACATCTTGACAACTATGGCAACTGATTTAAAATAAAAATGTCAGATTGCGAACATGGATGCCCCAATGCGTGTAGCATTTACATGTGTCTTTAGGTTTCATTAGAGCAGCCAACGCCTAAAGCAGGAAGGGGGTGGTGGGTTAGTTTCTAAAATAACTTGGTAGCAATTAGCAGAAATACACTGTGAAGCATGATTTTTTTTGCTCAAATGGTCCATCAGTTTGCATAATGTCATTAAGTATACTGCAAAAAACATGCAAAAACACTGTTGTCATGATCAAAAAGTTTCTGTGTGAGACCTACAAATGAACATATGACAGCAAAAGAAAAGAAAATCTAGCTATAACTCTGGGGATTCCACAGTCTTCAACTCTTTAACCCTTATTTCTGTCCATGCTCATTTAGAAGGAGGTTTACTTATGAATGAAGCTGGTGCAAAAGGTGAGCTCCTGCTGGCCAGTTAAGCACTAAGCATCTGCTCACTTTATATATATTTAAATATATATTTATCTATCCTTAAAGATGTTCCCCTCAGCCTCCCTGCCCAGAGTGTCACATGCTTCAGTGCACACATCAGCAGGAATACTAAACAGGTCAAAAGAGGAACACCCTTGAAACAACATTCAGCAAAAATAAGAGGAAAGCAAAAGAGTGTAAATAGAGATTGGACAAAATGTTACATAAAAATTAACCTAATATCCACCTATCCATTTTTAAACATGCAACATTATGACAGACAAACATATTTAGTGCAGCACATGTACACTAAAGGATTTCTCACATCAGTGACTTCTAATCACTCAATACAAATCACACTTCATATGTACTTATCATTTTCTCATTCAGACTGCTCCAGAATTTGAGAAGGAAATGAGCACTTGGGCACCCAATTTATCCTTGACTGGAAAGGAAATATGGTTCAGATTAATACAAAATAGAAGTACGGAGCAGTTAGCTGCTGTGTGAGACTTCAAAATTGGATTCTACAAGTTTTTGTAATAAATCCTCTATTAATTTAAGAGCCAAAATTAAACTGAAACGCATTATGCTGAATGCATTAACACGGCAAAGGGAGAATATTAAGCCATGCATCCACATGTCAAGCGACCGTCACAGACAATGGAGAGGTAATGACCTCCCTAAGCAGTCTAACATGTGCAATATGGCCTGTCCCATCAATAGTGCACCGGGCTCTTTTTGAGCCAAGCTGACACATTACTTGGCTTCTCATATGTGGAGGGCTGTTGGCAATGAAACTGTGTTATATGGCTCAGGAGTGCTGACAGGTTTCTTTCTCCTTCTCTTCTACCCTTCCCCCCTTGTCTCCTCCCCCCCCTATTTTCCCTCTTTATTCCTACCTCCTCTAGACTCGGAAAGGTCGGCACGTGGCAAAAGGAGGGGGAAGGATGGATCTTCGGCCCAGAGTGAGAGCCTCCCCTCGGGGAAGCCAGCATCAGACGCCGGGCCTCACGGGCCGTTGACCTGCTGTCTCCGTGATTTATGGCGGCTGGGGGCCTGTGGCCACTGCAGACTCCTCTCCCTTCTCTCCTCCATTTCCCTCCTCGCACACCGCTGGACCGAAAGGAGCCACACACACTGCAGCACCATCTACACGAGCGTCTAAAGAGGGATGCCTCGCACGCGCTGAGCTGCAGCGCTCACATGCATATTGCCACTTCTTTCTGCTTTGTCTCATCCAAAAATAGACACCTCCATAAACATTCCTGCACCGCTGCACCGCGTCCTACCGTCCCATCGCAGGTCTATTAAGAGTAAGCCTGCTCTGAGAGCGATCCCCCATTTGACTGTGTGTGGATTACAATCAGTCATGGTGTGTCGGGTGTAGTGCCCTCGGTGTAGCTGCTGCTAAAAGGCAGAGCCGGATCAATGGAAGTGCGCTGAGTGACGAGATGATGCTCTTGTTTTCACATGGCCTAAGAGAAATCGGCAGTGAACATCTATCCACACAGGGTTCTGTCTCTAAACTGCAACAATCTTTCTCTATGGACTGTTAGGGTGGTGAGTGAAAGCGTTGCTGCTTTATTGTTGGGGACGGTGTCATTGGACAGTTAGTTTTGCGCACAGAAAAGCTGTCAGACACCTTAAATTTCTTTCTTTTTTTTTTTTTAATCAACCTTAAAGGTTCCGGGTGGACACGGCGACACATTCCCCTTTGGTCCATTTGATTTTTATTTTAAAAGCTGTGGCCTGACGGTGAGGTCCAGCAGGTGCCCCTCGCCATGGTGTTGCCGCCCCCAGACAAACGCCACGTGTGCCTGACCACCATCGTCATAATGACCAGCATGGCCTTCATGGACGCGTACCTGGTGGAACAAAACCAGGGCCCCCGGAAGATTGGCGTGTGTATAATAGTGCTGGTAGGGGACGTTTGCTTCCTCATCGTTCTACGGTATGTGGCAGTGTGGGTCGGCGCTGAGGTGCGCACCGCTCGTCGAGGATATGCCATGATCTTGTGGTTTCTGTACATCTTTGTCCTGGAGATCAAACTCTACTTTGTCTTCCAGAATTGCAAAGCTGACAGAAAGAGTCTGGAGACGGTGGCCCGAAAGGCTTTGACGTTGCTATTGTCTGTGTGCGTGCCGGGCTTGTACTTGGTTCTGGTGGCTCTGGATAGCATGGAATATGTGAGAACTTTCCGGAAGAAAGAGGACATGAGGAGTCGTCTGTTTTGGGTGGCTCTGGACCTGCTGGACCTGCTGGATATCCAAGCCAACCTTTGGGAGCCCCAGCGGACAGGCCTTCCCATCTGGGCCGAGGGCCTGATGTTCTTCTACTGCTACATCTTGCTCCTCATCCTGCCCTGCGTGTCGCTCAGCGAAATCAGCATGCAGGGCGAGCACATGTCGCCTCAGAAGATGATGCTCTACCCGGTCCTCAGCCTGGTCACCATAAACGTGGTCACCATCCTCATACGCGGCGTGAACATGGTGCTGTTTCAGGACAGCCGGGTCTCCACCATCTTCGTCGGCAAGAACGTGGTCGCCATCGCCACCAAGGCGTCCACTTTCCTGGAATACCGCCGACAGGTGAAGGAGTTCCCACACCCACAGAACGCCATGGCGCTGGAGCTGCAGCAGAACTCCGTCGCCCACACGCAGCCGCTGCCCAACGCCACCAGTTTGCCGCACGAACCCTCACCGGCTCAGGACGTCATCGACACATGACCGCCCAGCGCTGGACTCAGCGCCGAAACAGACTGACTGAGAGCTCCAGCAGAGAAAGACGGGAAATAAAGAGATCAGCTGCATGACAGGATGATATTCTGCTCTTGTCAAGCTCACACAAACTGCTGTAAAACCACAAATGAGATTTTTAGCATCACCTGCCTGTCAGAATATACTGAAAAACAACACTCGACTTGAGTGCAGCGTACAGACTTCAAAGTCGAAAAACAAGGTTTTTAATTGTGCTACTGTGTTTTTAATTGTTTCAAATGTTTTAAAAGTTCAAACTTTACTAAAAAAAGACAATCTCAAAACCGTGCAGCCCCGTGACATTTTGTTGTGTAAAATGGACAGCTGGTTTCCCCCTCAGTGCGTAGCTTGTGTTTTTTTTGTTTTTTTTTAAAGGTCGCGTTTTTTTTGACGGTACGTTTGTGGCATTTCCTTTGAATTCCAGCACCAAAGGACATACCACACAGCCACGAGGCAGTGATCGAGAGGGGGGGAGCAGCGCATAACCAGAGCCAGTCAACATATCAGCTCTTTGCATTGTACTCCAGCAAGGTTGCTTCTATGTTTGGTTCTGCTGAGAAAGGAGCTTTGTGAAAGCCTTTGCGGTGATCTGCACAAAGCTTTACAGTCAAGGGGTCTGACGAAAGCAGCGCCGCACCATCTACTGCAGGCATCTGAGCCACGTGCGTACATCCTCGTGTCTACGCGCAGGCTCGCAAATCTACTGAGTATGTGTCATAAAATGCACAGAAAGTATGTGTTTTTTTTAAGTTGTTTTTGAAAGAGATGCCAGTGGTCGGTGGTTGTCATGATCTGAAAATGAGACTAAATATGTAAATGTTACAAACAAAAACCAGATTATGGAGTTTGGATGTTTTTTCTCTTTCTGTTTCCTCTACTGTACATTCCTTCAAAACTAGTTCAAACCTTGAAGTCTAAGAATGCAGAGATCAGAGGATGCCTCACTGAAGAATTGACAAAATAACTTCAAAATGATGGGTTAAAAAAAAATCAAGATGTTATTCAATTTATTATTATTATCATTATTATTATTATTATAATTATTATTATGTACATTCTTTACATGTTGGAGGCCAATGATGTTTTAATAAAAGTATGAACAAAATATTGTTGTGGACAGAGTGGTCTCTTTCTACAAACAGAAGTGACCTAGTTAAAAAAAAAAGTCAAATTGGGGTTAAACTAACAATATTGCACAAAAAGTCACATTTCTGCCAATAGAATTGAAATATTTGTAAAGTGTTTTGAGAAAAACTCAGTCTAGTGATTTTGACATTGCCTCACTTTTGCATCAGACATTTATTGACTACCTCTACCATATCAACCAAAGAACGTAAACCCTGACCCATCAGGAGTTGCACCACACTTGTGAATTGCGTTCTGCTACCTCACACAGAAGATAGGAGTCTTCAGCCTGTGAGTGTGTAGCCTTGTGTTCCAGGCTACTCATTCATCTTTACTGTGTTCTAGCTGATATTTTAGGATTACACTGAGAGACTTTGTGAGCCACGGTGGGTAACGGTATACTTAACAATAGGGTGACAAAATAAACGGCTGTCTGATACTGAAGTGACACAATATCAAATGCACTGTCGTGTGCACTTCAAAAATTGTTCATGTCTGAGTTGTTTCAGATGGTGACAATTCACTCGTCATGTCAGTGTTCTGTGTGTAAAATTAGGTCTACCGCCCACATAGTCTCCCTTTGAGTAGTACGTTAAATCTCTGTACAGTAACACGGATGCTCTGCCATCGCTGTTGTTTTTAGATAGTGTTGAGCTTCAACATTTAGACATAGCAACTATTTTATTCTATCCAAAAGGCTCCTACATTTGGAAATGCTCACAACAAGTTTGTGTTTAAATTGATATGAAAATGCATTAACCTTTTTGTCAGTCATCCCTTTTACTCCCATTTCTCATTATCACCTTCCTGCTTGGCTTGCCGTTCCAATAACAGTAATCTTCTCTGTATTGTCTCTGTATCAAAAATAACCTTTTTCATTCTTCCACAGAGGACCTAACTAACAGACCTCAGCACCGAAGAGTGAGTCAGAGAGGTCAGCTACATGAGGAGAGTCATTTTTTATCAGGAAACCTGAGGCTTCCTGCAGTTCTCTGCCAAAAGAGAGACACTCTCAGATCAGAAGTTACCGAAAGGGTTGCATTTCCATTCTAATTTGATCAGCGAAATTTTTGGGGAGAGGGGTTTCTCCTCAAACATAATTTTTGAATTGGTAACCATTTGAAATCTGAAATGAAATTAAGAGAGAAAAAACATTATGTTTCAATTTAAAGAAAATGCAATGTTCATTTCACACATCCACAGTATGTGCTGCTTTAAATAATAAAACAGCCATTCATATAAAAGAGAGTTGTATCAGTTTGAGGCTTCTTCTGCCTGTCCAGCCTAATATACTTTTTCACTTGGTATATGCTCTATTGAAACACATTGATTTTTCAAGCTTGAAGGGTGTGGGATACTTCTGAGGCCTGAAGCACATCAAGTTCTGGCTGTCTCTTTTCTACAAACCATAAATGTAATTGTAGACTTTAGCACAGTGCAGCATTGAAGTTAGGGCTATACACCATAACACCCATAATGTTAAACTACGTCAAATTTGGTTATTTTTTGTTATTTTACTGTCATTTCTACATTTTCCTTTACTTATTCATCTGTTGCCAAGACTGCAAGAGTCAAGAGACATAATAGAGAGACTTCAGGGCAACGTAACTCAATTCTATTGTTCTGTTTGCGATTTATTTCTGCGCTTATCGTATTATCTGCAACAGGTTTATCCCGGTAATATGTGAAGAGAAGTACATCATTGTAAAAAGAGGGAAAATAGATCATAAACCAGGTAGAATACAGCTAGATGTTCCAGAAGGCTTTCTCCCTACGAGTCTTGTAGCTGCTATGTGAGGCTGTGTTTAGATTTATCTTTGTTTGCATTTTACTGTGTGTTCAGTGGGAAATTTGCGTTATCATTCCATTGTAGTGAATTTTACCACATATTACGGATCTTAGCTTTCTTGATGTAGTGCATTGTGATGATGGATGATTGTCACACCATGATATGATATGCCATTGGACACCTGGATGCAATTAGAGTCTGTTTGCCCATTGCACATAAACGCACACATTATATAACAGTGTTTACCATCCATCATCCGTCTCCCACACCCAGTGTAAATCCTTCAAAATCTTGTCCCCTTACACACTTAAATGTCAAAGTTGGGTCTTCATATAATATCCTTGTTAACAGGCAATGTAGTTAAGCTGAATTTGACAGCATTCCAGATAAATAAGGCGATAAAAAAAAGAATCTAATTACACACCTCACGCACCACGGAATGATTCGTTATCATGGACATGCTGTAATTCCAAGCGTTGAAAGGAGACCAATTTTATTTTCTAAATCCATGTAGAAGAATAGGGAGGTGTCTGAGAATTCGGTGCCTATGTTAGCAGATGATGGCCTAGTTGGCTCTCTGCTTCAGCTGAACTCACATTATTAAATCTCTTTTATGCAGTCTGAGCACTAGTCTCAGCAAAACGCTTCTTTAAAAGAACAGGAGAGAGAAAAGCTAGTGTACATTAAATTAATAATGTCGTGCACAGTGAGAATCTGTGCTTCAGAAGCGTTTGGGTTGAGTCGGGAAACTTTATGGCTGTACGACTTAAACCAAACCTTTGCTGTGGTGTGGATCACAGCTCATTCTTAGGCTTACAGCATACGCCGCTACAGTTTGAATAAATCTTGTCAGCACAAGTGGATGAAGGGGGGTGGAAAGTAAATGGCAAACTTGGGAATAGAATAAATTACCTGTGGCTGCCTCTCCTGCAGATCACCTTTCTGAGACCCTCACTGAGAGCGACTCATCCATAAATCAACAGAGCTGTGCATCTTCCATGTGTAATAACTCAGTAAAAGCACTTTCTGTGTCTCCACGTGATTTACTGTATCTATGACTTCCCAAAGCATTTATTCCCAGCAAAACTTAAATCACAGCCAATAGAATTTAGGTGGCATTGCAGGTGTTGCAGAATCTTGACCAACTTTACATGTGCTGAGTTGGGAGATTTGTCGTCTCTTTCTCCGCTGGTTGCTCTCCGTTTCAGGTTTGTAATAAAGTGTCTTTTTTTTTTTCTCATGTTATAATGGCTTTGGCTCTTACACAACCCTTCAGCTGCACAGCTCGCAGCATTCAGGTGCCTGTGCAGTAATCTATATGGAAATTGTTCAGTGACTCCCTCATATAAGTACAATGTATTTATTGTCCACTTGATCAAATTCATAGAAATGAGGATACGGGTATGTGAGCTGCAAACAGTACCATGAAAAACTGTTAACTTTTCCTAGATAAAATGAAATTATACTCTACATATGACAATTTGATTTCAAAATGAGATCTTATTATAAATCACTACATTTGAAAAACAAAAACAAAAATTCAATCTCTTCTATTCATTCAAGTTTAGTGCTTTGTGTCATTTATTTCTTTGGATCAATAACCAATATTTTCTAATATAATAGACAGATTTTATGGATGACTATTATCTAATTGATTAAACATTAATTATTAAAAACACACATTTGGACAGTCTACCATAACATTAATCAGTAGAAGAAGCATCACACTGCACAGGTCTTCAAAACCAGCCGTCACTAATCTGTACAGCAGAACAACTTTGAAAATAGATCAGAATGTCTGACTCCTCTTCAGATACAGCACTTCATGTAGAAAATGGAATTTCCTGTCACACCTCAACATGAAACAGCAAAGTGCTTTAGTGTTTTCAAGGTGAATGGCTTTGAGTCCCCGTCACCTGCCCATTCTGTCGGAACATGAAACACGTGTGTGCGTTTAGCTCCCGGGCCTGTACAAAAGGCATTTTTATTTTAACATAATATGTGGTGTAACTCTTAGAGGCGAGTGTGCAACCTCACCACCTCAAAGAGTTAAGAC